AAATGTTTTATCAGAGCTTAATCCTTCTGGGTTTGATCTGATTTCAACCTTTATGGTTATATGGTTATAGCCACACCAATTCATTTGAGTGTATAATTGTGTATGTTTGTGTGTGTGTGTGTCTGTGAGTGTGTTTGAGTGAGTGTGTCTGTTTTGCACTCTTGATGTTTTAGAGTGTAACCCCTTCCTTGCTGTCCACTTTTTTACAGCATTGTAGTTGAATTATTGCTTTTATTTTACATATTTGCTGTGTTAGTCACACCAGTTCATAGGTGTGTGTGTGTATAAGTGTGTGTGTACGCGTGTGTGTGTGTGTGTGCAAGTGGATGTGTTGGTTTTGCACTCTTTATGTTTTAGAGTTTCACCCTGTCATTGCTGTGTACTTTATTTCTGCATTGTGTCAGATTTGTAGATTGACAGAATTGTTGTGTTTTTGTCTGATCGAATCATGCCCTCAATTTTTTTGTGTGTTCACATTCCAAATGCCATAAAAGTCACCAAGTTTCGTACCATTCCGCTGTGATTGAAAAAAATTCAAAACAGAAAATTTTTCGGTCAAAAGTGACTGAAGAGCACCAGAGGGTTAAGGAAAGTAAGGAAATCAAAAATCAATGTAGCACTAAACTGTTGCGGTGTCACGTGACTTGGGCTTGCCTGTTAGGTTGACTTTCATTACCTTGGGAAAACATCATGACCTGACCTCAGAGGAGAGAAGGGCAGCACACTTCATCCTCTCCAAGATGGAAAGGAGGGAAAAACCAGCATCCTGGGCAGCTCGTTCATCTTGTTAAATTAAATACTCCACTTCACTGAACATGAACTGAGCTACCCACCACCGCACCTTTTTCCTCTCTCGCCATCTTTATGCTCTTTTGTGTTTTCTTCATCCCTCAACAGCCACTGCCATCTTCACCTTCCCCTGTTATCCCTCCATTCTTTTCTCTCTGCCCAGTTCCTCTTTCACTCCCTCTTTCCCTCATTCCTTTTCTTTCCCCATACTCTCTTTTCCTCCATTCCCTCCCGTTTCTCTCACCACTTGTCAGAGTGATTGCCACAGAGAGGATTTAATGCAAACACAATACAATCAATTTCCATTTTCACTGCTCTCTTTCTCTTTCCCACATGCTAAATCGGCTGACGAAAAACTATTTCCTTGCAGAATGAAGACAAAGATGTTTGCTTGTGCTAATAAGGAAAATAATGAAAGACAAACAGAGATGATAAAGTGTGTGGGAGCGTGTGTGCCGCCAATTCATACAGAATAACATTCTCAGCTTAATCTCATTTAAAACTGAGACCAATTGGGCATAGATCACATACATATGTATGCAAAATGTCAGGGCTTGTGTGTGCATTATAATAACTACACTCTCAGCATATGGGCTCATTCACATAGGAGGGAGCACAAAACAGACTTTTAAACATGAAGTGTAAAAGTTTCAGTTATTTCACTACCTTGAGAAAACAGTGCCTAATTATCTCCACAAAAACAAAGGGGGAATAAGAAAATATTTAAGTAATTAAACAGAGTAATAAAGTTTAAACAGATATAAATAGAGTGTACAGAGAGACAGACAGACACAAGATCGAAGGATAGACAGCCATACAGACTGGTCAAAGCAATGGCTTAAGGCTGGCCCACAATAAAAGATTTTTTAAATCTTATCAGATTTTCACAATGTGACCACACACATAACGACAAAAAATCTGGAGGTGAGTAATGCTTCTGTCTTCTGTCAGCTCGCTTTCAAATTGGGACTTGTTTTGTTCCACATGACAGTCTACAGTGTGAGTCTGCGTTTGTCCTCGGGATACCCCACACAGGATTTCTGAACGTAAATATTCAACATGCTGGATATTTATGATTTGAGATCGGTGTGACCCCAATGTGCTTCCGAGCAGATTCAATCACCCTTAACACACCCCACACCACAGGAAAATCTTTTAAGATAATCTGCAGAACTATCACGACAATTGGGACTTTACCTAAGATTGTCAAAAGGGGAGAATTCGGCCTGATTATCTTGTAGTGTGTGCCCTGCTTTAGCACAGTGAAGTTTGAAGGTAGACAGACAGACAGAAAGATGAGTGAGTGTGAGTGAGTGAGTGACATGTGGCCAAGTATGGTCACCCATACTAGGAATTAGTGCTCTGCATTTAACCCATCCTTAGTGCACACACACAGCAGTGAACACACACCGTGAACACACACCCGGAGCAGTGGGCAGCCATTTATGCTGCGGCGCCCGGGGAGCAGTTGGGGGTTCGGTGCCTTGCTCAAGGGCACCTCAGTCGTGGTACTGATGGTGGGAGAGAGCGCTGTACATTCACTCCCCCCACCTACAATCCCTGCTGGTACGAGACTCGAACCCGCAACCTTTGGGTTACGAGTCCGACTCTCTAACCATTAGGCCACGACTTCCCCACAGATACATGAAGCTTGAAGGTAGACAGACATACAGAGAGAGACAGAGAGACAGACAACAGATAGATAGATAGATAGATAGATAGATATAGACAGACAGACAGACTGGTCAAAGCAATGGCTTAGCACAGTGAAGTTTGAAGGTAGACGGATGGACGGACGGATGGATGGACAATTATATATACAAAAACAAAGGAAGAAATAGAAAAAATCTAAGTAATTCATTTACAGAGTAATAAAGTAATAGAGTTTACAGAGAGACAGACAAGAGATAGATAGATAGGTAGGCATACAGACTAGTAGAAGCAATGTCTTAGCCATTGTATATAGATAGATAGATAGATAGACAGATAGATAGATAGATAGATAGAAATAGTCAGATGATAGATAGACAGACAGACAGACAGACAGACAGACAGATGATAGATAGACAACAGACAGACAGATAGATAGATGATAGACAGACAGACAGACAGCAGAGAGACAGACAACAGATAGATAGATAGATAGATAGATAGATATAGACAGACAGACAGACTGGTCAAAGCAATGGCTTAGCACAGTGAAGTTTGAAGGTAGACGGATGGACGGACGGATGGATGGACAATTATATATACAAAAACAAAGGAAGAAATAGAAAAAATCTAAGTAATTCATTTACAGAGTAATAAAGTAATAGAGTTTACAGAGAGACAGACAAGAGATAGATAGATAGGTAGGCATACAGACTAGTAGAAGCAATGTCTTAGCCATTGAGACAGAGAGATACAAACAGACAGATAAAGAGACATACAGACAGACAAGAAATAGATAGATAGACTTACAGACTGGTCGAAGCCAAGACTTAGCGTGGTGAAGTTTGATGATAGACAGATAGATAGATTGGGAGACCCTGCACATAGTTGTTGAGCTGTGGTACTCATTTTGAGCTCATGCTGGCAGCAGCAGTATGAATCTAGACCAACATGTGTCTAAAAGAAGAAAAAAACAGATATAGATCTACCTGGTCTGTTTTACAGAGTCTGAAGCTGGTTCTCATGAGGCTGAGGTAGACTCTTCCTTTGAGGCCACGCAGCTCGACGTAGCCACTCTTGTTTGTGTTATTTTTGCGAGGCTGATGGGAAATGGAGGACTGGGAGCTCACAGCAGACTGGAGAACCTCTAGCCAATCCTGACGTTCTCCTTAGAGGGAAGACAGAAGATGGAGAGAGCTAAGAAGAAGAAATATGCATGCCTGTGGAAGAATGCTGCAGTCTGTTTGATGTATGTTAGCGAATGCGCGTGTGTGGAGAGACACCATGCCATAGGAATAAAAGGGAAGGAAAAAGTGTCTAATATTATTGTTATACTTTATAAACTTTCAAATCTGCAAACAAAGCAGGTACGCAAAAGCCCCTGTGTCTCATTGCACTGTCTGCAACTACGTTTGTGTGTGTGCGCATGAGATGGGGGAAGGAAGCCTGAGAGTGTTCTCTTGTGCTGTGTTTAAATAGGGCTACAGGGGCTTGCACAAATTCATTGCGAGCACACACACTAGCCAAAAAACATTAACAGCTGGATACTCTTATCCTCTGCAGGTCTGCAGAACCTGCCACATCTAGAGAGTGAGAGAAGGGGGGTAAGAGAAAGAGACAGAGAGAGAGTGAGATCTCATTTCATCAAAGGTGAGTGTTTTTGCGTGTCTTTTGGACAAAACTCAAATTGTGCTTGTCAGCAAAAGTTTTCAGGTGCACCGTAAGTGTTGGTGCATCAGATATATAACCACATTTGACACCTTAAGTTTAGTTTGTGTAGCCATATCTATCCAATTCCACTTATTCTACTAACTCAATTTTTTGTTAATACTTTGGTGTTGTCAATTGACTACATTTTTAATTGTGATTAAATCATATTATCATAATTATTTGTTAATTCATTGTGTTAATTTTTAAGGAACGAGCAGAATATGTAAAAATGTAGGATCTCTGCATATATGTATAAACTAAAGACACCTGAAAGAGGTAGATTTTGGCAACGGTACTCTTTATTGGTCTCACTCACACATCTCATTCTGTATTCCTCACACTGCCCAGGAAATGCAAAGACTGAAATAAAAAACCTGAAATAATGAGATAATATAACAACTTTGCTCACACTTTATGGACATGTGTAAAGCTGTTTTGCAAGACTGCTGCCCGCGAGATTCACTTGTAGGTGATAATTAAATAACACCATAAAAAAGTGTAAATAACTTTACTTCGTTAAACATTCCATCTGGGTTTATAAATATGTATAAATATGATTAAATCCATTAAGAACATTTTCTCTATTATTTATTGATTAATATCAGTTACCAAGGTCAAATGTTTGGCTGGTTAGAATGATCCCATTTTTATAAGCATTATAGTTCGGGATCAGTAAGAAATTAATACCTTTATTCTGCAAGGATGCATTAAGTTGATCAAAAGTAACACTAAAGATATTTGTAATGTTACAAACTATTTCAATTTCAAATAAATCCTTTTATTTTCAACTTTCCATTCATCAAACAATCCTGAAAAACTAAATGTATCATGGTTTCCATCAAGTCATTTTTAATTGTAACAAAATTTCACAATATTCCTGTATTTTTTATCAATAAATGCAGCCTTGGTGAGCAAGAATTCTTCAAAAACTCTTACTGACTTCACACGTTTGAACAGTAGTGTAAAAATCACGTTTAGTTTCAGGTGACTGATTCAAAGCAACCTGACAGTAGAACTGAACACCCACGAATCGCCATGAGCAAAGATTGCAGATTATATAGGCTTCCTTGAAAAAAAGGAACAGTGTTAAACAATTTTAATTTACTTTGACAGGCCTAGTTATCACTGTAAGTGACCATGGCTTCAACACACCCTCACAGACAGTTACAAACAGCACTTTGCAAAGTCCCAAACGTCAAAAATTGGTGGCTGCAAAATATATTTTTCCCCTTTATCCATGAAAACATTGTTATTCCCAAAATATCACACTCTATCTGAAGGAAGAGACCTAAACAGCTGAGGACTGACCCAGAAAGAGTACACAGCCATGAATGTTTGCTCACACACACACACGCGCGCCTCTAAATGATTCCCAGTGTGCTCGATCTCTAACACTAATTCTCATTCTTATCTTTTGTGCTCATCCCATGACCACCCACTTCCAGCTCTTTCACGCACTCATTCTCTCTCTCCTCCTCTCTTGTGTTTATCTTAAGATTGATGACTCCTTCAGACTGCTATAAAGCTGTTAAAAGATGCATGAGCTGATCGGACCAGTGCTCTCTCTGTCTCTCATTTTTTTTAGATAGTGGAAAGTACTGTTAAATGCATGCCTAAACTGACTTCCCTCAGAGTAATGGGTCAGAGGTCATTACACAAGAACTGGGGATAAAGTAGGTACTGAGGAGGCCATTATTTGCTGATATTCTGAGACACTATGGTACATAGCAGTGCTATCAACCTCAGATTTACCACAGTAATTGCAGCGGGGAAAGCACAGGCCATGTCAATAACATGGTAACTGATTGGCTCATGGTGAACTCCTCACCCTACCACTGTTTCTTTTACTGCAAGGTGTCTGAAAAAGCAAAATAATCTCACCGGTCTTAATTTTTTGCTTAATTTACAAATAATGACAGATAACATGGCATACTTCGGTATACAGATACACAGCATGACACTGCTAAGGTACCACCTATAGAAGTACTATAGTACTTTATAATATTTTTTTGTTTTCAAAAAATATACACATTTTCAACTATAATTAGCACAAAATCATGCTAAAATGCTATTACTAATGAACTAGCTGTAATATTAAAGTAACACTGTCAATTAATCACGACTAGAACTATCCTCAGAGCCACTAAATGCTGACACAGTTTTAAATTGATCCTGAATTGCAGCTAAAGTACCAGGCTACTCCTTAAACACCATGAGTCTCTCTATTAAAACCATAATCAGGCCTTTTCACAGTCTTTAAATCAGGCTTCATTGCAGCTTAGTAATGAATATTAAGAAAAATATCCCATAAAATGCACAGGCAATGGTGTGGCAACTATATGCACCAACAGGGTGTTTACTGTACATATTAAATCTAAAGCTATCATCATCATTATCATCTCGGTTGTTTCAGTTCTGTCATAATATTGTGATCTCCTTGAGTCTGGTTGGCTTTAGTTTTCATCTCTCTTTTACTCTGTCTCTGATTTGGTGTGCAGTGGAAGATCTACCCAGAACATCTTATCTTATAGCAGAGATGGTAAGGTGATAAAAATATGAGTGAAAAGATGATAAAAGATCAAGAGTGAGAGTGAGAGTGAATTGGTTTAAAAGAGATTAGCAGAGGGGGATCGAAATGTGAGATAGACAGAAAAGCAAAGAGGCTCACCTTCTTTCTCTGCCCGAAACACAAAGGTTCTTACAGAGGTGACCACCTCAAACTTATTCTCACCCAGAGCGCACACTTGTTTAACTGCTGAAACAGGTATCAGGCCCTTCGAGTACATCTCCTGCAAGGAATGAGGGAGACAGAAAAATTATTCATAGCGCAAAGTGATTATGGACAGTTTACAATTTACCAGTCACAAGTTTGGACACATTTGACTGAATTTATGTCTCTCATAATCTCAGAAACTTCTTTCTTTCTAAAGACTTACTAAAACAAGAAAAAAAAACACAAAAGCAAGCAAAAACAACAAAACAAAACCAAATAAAAGCAAACTAAACAAAACACAAAACCAAACAAACAAAAACACCCATTTTAGATGCAGTGCTTCAAACAAAAACCTAACAAATAACACAAAACAAAATTAACCAAAACGCAAACAAAACCATAAAACAACCAAATAAAAAGCAAACTAAACAAAACAAAAGAAAACTAAACGAAAAGCAAACAAAAACACAAAACAAGGGAAAAGAGTGAAAGAGGGAAAAAAAGAAAGATTAATTTGTCCATTTCAGTTGGCTGTTAATTATTATGATGACCTTGCACTATTTCTAGAACTCGTCCATACAGAAATAGAAGAGAAGATTTAGTGAGGGACCCCCTCCTCAGCTGGCGCAAATGGAAGAGGTAATGCCAAAGATAGACGGTAAGAGAGCGGATGAGGTAGAGAAAGTGAGAAAGCAGAGACAATGAGAAAGAGAGAGGAATATGATAGCTTTGGTGATTGCTTGATAGAGAGAGAATGAGTGAAGAACCAAGGGATCAAGGAAGAGAAGCTCACAAAGCGGATGGAGCATAAGATTGCGAACGAGAAAGAGAGAGAAAGTGGGGTCAGAGAGAGCGTCATCTCCTCAAATTAAGGCAGCATGTTAACAACGATGGCTGCAGCTAACCCTAATTATGGTAGGGGCAGCCATCACCTCTCTCCGGGATTTCACTCCTTGCTCACTCTCTCTTATTTTGCATCCTTCCCACCGCCAAACTCGCCGGCATATTAATGAGACTTCCTCTGTCTAAAATCTGGACAGCAGCAGAAGAGAGGAAAGGGATAAAAGTGAAGAGGTGTGCATGTTTATAGGAAGCTAAGTGGAAATAATGAGGTGCTCTCTAAGCTGGCGTTAATTATTCATTATAATTACAATTTTCAGTGTCGGAATGATGAAGGGGGCTTATAGAGTACATGTGCAAACGCAAGCGCATCCATTAAGAGTTTAGAGATGGTTTAAGTACTTATACAAACACACATATAACAAAGATGTACGCTGCACAAAAAAAAATGTATAGCAGGATTTATTTGTATGGTTTGCGCAAATCTGTGACGATGTGTCACTCTCACAGCAGTTGTTCTACATAGGCTTGATGTTCATAACCACATACATCCAAATGTGCTACAAAGTTTAAGGGACTGACTGATGAAGTCTGCATTCGCTCAGAGAGACCCAGAAATGCCATTAGCTTTTGTTTTTACCAGCAGTGATTTAGTTCTGCAGTGGAGCCATGGGGACACCACCTGGCCGAGGGCCGCTAATGCACTTGAGTGTGGAAAATGACTTGTAAATGTACTGCATGCAGTAAACTGATGATGATCAAAATGATGCATTTGATGCAAAATGAACATCCTACACTAGCCAAAAGCACACAGCTGAATGTAGTGTTCTAGAAGATCTGCTGCCATACACTACCATCAAAGTCTGAAATAATTATGATTTTATTAATGTTTTTGCAAGAAGTCTTGAAAGCTGTTTTCTATTTTAATATATTTAAAAAAATAAAATGTATTACACTCCAATACTCCAGCCATTACTCCTGTCTTGTCACATGATCCTTGAGATATCCTTCTAATACACCGATTTGATTCTCAGTTATCAATTAGTATTGGTGGTCAGTTATTAATACTGGTTCTTATGGTCATTAATGCTAAAAACCATTTTTGCTGCTTAATATTTTTATGGAAACCTTGATCCAGGATTCTTTGATCAATAAAAAGTTTAAAGGAACAGCATATCATTATAAGTCTGCTGTCATTTTTGATCCATTTATTTTGTCCTTGCTGAAAAAATATATATAATTACATTTTTCATTTCTTAATAGTCATACTGAAGATTGGAGCAATGGCTGCTGAAATTCAGTTATCTAAGTAGAAAACAGTTCATTTAAACTGTAATATTTCACAATATTACTGTTTTACTGTATTTTTTATTAAATAAATTGAGCCTTGGTGACTTCTTTCAAAAACATTTTAAAAATCTTCATTATTCTGACTATTTGACCAGTAGTCTATAAGTTGCAGATCCTGGGAAGCTGACTTGTGCCCTAAGTTGGATGGACTACAACCATCAAAACCTGGGAATGGGTGGTGAGAAAGCTTTCCACTGACACTCCCAGGGGACTTTTGAGCTTTTCTGGATTTTCCACACAGTTGTACTTAAGAAACGAGGTAACTGATCCCAACCCAAACATCTCCACACACTCTGCCAACCTACAGGTGACACTCTAAACCTCTCTCACTCACACATACAAGCTAAAACTCATGAAAGTGTTACTTGGATCCCCAGACGTCACAGACCTGGTCGCAAGGTTGATGAAACATCAGGTAAGTTTGGGGAGAGACCATGCCGCTCCGTCCCCGAGGGTCCTACAGAGAACCAGTGGGAGCATGGTGCTTGCTTCTCTCCCACGCTTAAGAAGGTCTCTGATTGATGACATCATTATGTGATGTCAAGAAGCGAGCAGTGATTGAGATTAACCATTTCAATCAGAGACAAGAGACTGAGGAGAGAATGTGCCCGCTGAGGACAGTAAGTTTAAGGAGTCTTTCTTTGAAACTCTCCCTAGTATTCTTGGTTAGTGATGCTTGTAAAGGGAAATTCTGTTATTTGCTATTTTTAATGTATAGAAGGAACCAGTAAGCAAACACCAAGCAAACAAACATAAATGCATTAAAAACTGCTCAGAGGACCAACTTTTCAATGTCCTGACAACCGCTCAAAACACCATAGCAGAGCTTCATGGTGGCCACCATTCAAACAAAACATCTAATTACAAATGCAAAAGTCACCATTGACTCCTAATGGATGATGCCATCACAGAGGAGCCTGCCTTTATTTAGAAGAAGAGAGAACCCAGGGAGCTGGTACTTGTGCTGGCTATGCACACTTACCGCTAAATGCTGAATGACACATAGTCTAAATCATAAGGTCCCAATTTGCAAGCAGCCTCTTAAATGTTATGGAGTGGAGAGTGACAATGAAAAATATGATACCTAAATTAAGGTATGGTTTAAAGTTCTTAAAATGGATAGTTCACCCAAAAATTAAAATTGTCATTATTTACTCAACATCATGTCATTCCAAACCTGTATGAATTTATTTCTTCTGTGGAACATACAAGAAAATAATTTGAGAAAAAAATTGTTTTCATACAATAGAAATCAAGGCTAACCAAAATGGTTTGGTAACATTCTACAAAATGTGATTGTATTCCACAGAAGAAAGTCATACAGGTTTGGAATGACATGAGGGTGAGGAAATTATGTCAGAATTTAATAGCAGTACATTTTCTGCATTCTAGCTCAAAATCAATGCTTTACTGTCAAGTGCATTTCTATGTGACAAAAATGCTTTATTAAGTTTGTTGCATTTGCTGTGAATTCAGTAATATCCATCATTATTTGTTTCTGTCCTGTTTTATTTATTCATTTATTTACTCCAATTTAAGGCCCTATAACCCAGCAAAACATTCACAGGGGAACTCGTGGGCCGGATGGGCTGGATTTGTTAGTCCAGCCCTGGATGCAGGGTTGTCAAGTCCGGGGTTTTTTTTGTTTGTTTGTTTTTTTCCATGGAATTGGGCTACTTCCCAACTAAACTGTTGCCATGGGCTGATTTTCCCTCGTGGGTTAAAGGTTTGAAATGTTGCATAAATTACATTTGACTGAAAAGCTTGTATTGAAATATTTAGCATTCTACCTATGATAAAACTGAGCTAGATGTTAAGTTTTGTGAAGGAGGGCCACTGGTGGGAAGCCTTTTAGCTGTGTTTATGATCAATATGCATAACAATGACTGTAAAATATGTATTTTAGGTATTTTGAATTTGATATTTGGGATACGGTCATTGCGCTACTTTAACCACCAACCAAACACACCTAGCCACCCATGCACTAGGAAGTTCTGACTCACTTGTTTCTCTAGGCAAGATCATTTATATGCATTACTGTTCAAAAGTTTAGGGGCAATACATTTTTGTAAATAAATTCTTTATTTATTTATTTTGAATCAGCAAGGAGGCATTCAATTGATCAAGTGGCAGTAAATACATATATAAAGACATAAATAAATGATGTTCTTTGGCACTTTATATTTAACAAAAAATCTTTAAAAAAAAAAAGTATCCCGGTTTACACAAAAATGAACATTGATAATAAGAAATATTACTCAATCAGCAATCAGCATATTAGAATGATTTCTGAAGGATCAGCTACACTTTAAAATATAAAAATATATAAGGAATAATTGACGACGGGCCGTTGAATTATTAGAAAAATAATGCACACCCGTCGCGTCGTGGCCAATACACCTCGGGTGTGCATTATTTTTCTAATAATTCAACGGCCCGGAGTCAATTATTCCGCTTATACTACGCTATTGTGAGTATTATTATGAGGATTATTTCTTCCGCATCTCATCCAGTGCCTCTTTTGCTAGTTCCAAAACGTCATTTTAAAGCTGGTAATGGAGGCTTGAGCCGTTGATAACATTCTAATGCAGTTATTAATGAAGTTATTAGAAAGAGAGCGAGAGAGACAGAGACACACAGAGAAAGAGAAAGAAAGAGAGAGAGAGCTTGTGTGAATTAGGCTACCTCTGTGCGTCCCTCAACAGTGTTCTGCAGCAGCGTCTCTAGACGGCGCTGATATTACCTCGCTAGTGAGAAATGTCATGTGTAGCCTTTAAGTTGCTACACTATATAGGCTAACTGATAATATCGTCAGGGCAGCGCTGACAACACCTTTTTGTGCAAACTGCGTGACCGTAGTGTGCGTGTGCGAGCACGTGTGATTGCAGTAATTCCTGTGTGCTGTATAGGTACTGTATGCTAATTTCCGTTATTACAGTTAACTATGCGAAGTGATATGGAACTGTAATGCGGTCAAGAGAGCTGCCTGGAACTACGTTCGCCGTGCGTTTCCCTGAAAATAATTGCACACCTCAGAACGTTCGTCAGCCAATCAGATTCAAGCATTCAACGGCCCCGTAGTATAAATTATAATAGAAAACAATTACTTCAAATTGTAATATCTCACAATTATATGTCTATGTAAACAGGGCATGAGAAGGGAAAGAGTAGGAGAGAGAGAGCAACTGGTGTGTTTGAAAGCTAGAACAGGCCGCTCCACTGATGCTCCTCTTTTGATTAGGCTTAAAGGACTAAAAGAAAGACAACAGCACGGTACACGCAGGTTCACTCAATGCCCCCTCCTCCATCTCTATTAGAGCATCCTCTACCCCCACTGTTTTACACTGATGATATCACCCCGTTCCTGCATCCAGTGCTTTTTCTGTCCTACTATATTTTTGCAAAAAGAGTGAGTGACTGTCGACAGCTATGGAAGACATTTTAGGTTTATCCCACTGGAAGTGGAAATTAAGAGAGGGATTTTGCAGCAGTTTGGATGCTCTGAGATACTTTAAAGTGATTGTACATGCTGAGTTTAAAACTGACACCAGGGTTTTAGGCTTGTCTCTGCTCTCCCCAGTCAAACTGAAACAAGAACATGACATGGCAGAGCCCTGTTGTGTGTGAGAATTTGCAAATGTGTGTGTGTGTGTGTGTGTGTGTGTGTGTACTGGTATACAGTATATAGTTTATGAGGACACAAATGTGTATAATGACGGTCGCCGTGATTTTGCCAAGTAAGACAAACCCAATCCCTACCCCTAAACCTAACCCTACCCATGATTTATTTCTAAAATCAGTGTGGAATGATAGCTCATTTACAAGGGTGTAGAAGCACCTAACCCTGATCGTAAGCCTAAAACAAATATTTCCTGAAAAGTTATCCCTCAATTCTGATTGGTTAATTGGAATGTTATTCCAGGATCAACAAGGATGTTGATCCAGGAACATGTTGTACTTGGTGAAATAACGGTCACCGTATAATGACATGGGTACTACAACGTAAACATGGTTTATGAGGACACTTCCTGTGTCCCCGTAAAACAAAAGGCTTAAAAAAAACATACAAAATGGTGTTTTATGAAATTCAAAAATTACCAGTAGTTTTCTGTAAGGGGTAGGTGTTGGTGTAGGGTGATAGAAAATAGTTTGTACAGTATAAAAACCATTACGACTATGGAGAGTCCCCGTAAACCACAAATGCAAGAGTGTGTGTGTGTGTGTGTGTGTGTGTGTGGGTGT